GAGAGAGAGAGAGAGAGAGAGAGAGGCAGAGACAGAGACAGAGACAGAGACAGAGACAGGTTAAAAACCTGTCCCTGTCAATGTTGAAGAGTGCAGACTGGGTTCAGCTTCTAACATAAGCTCCCATTGTCAGAGTAAAGTGAGAGTAGGTGAAGCTGGAATAAATCAGGAATTTTTAGGGAAGCGAACAAAAGGAGCAACCCCTTCCTCACCGATACCAGTGATGGTGAACATTTTAGAGCCGAGTACCCAAACTGCAACCCAAAACCTACTTGTTTATCACAAAATGCAAACACTGTAATTAAACCTGAATACTGAGACTATAGTTTAGAAAAAAAAATGTTAACATCTTTTGTCTTAAAGGAAAAAACAAATGTCCTAGTTATTTTTCTCATTGCTGAGACAAACTACCAGACACCCAAAACAAAAAGAAGAAAGGTTTATTTAGCTCACAGTTTGTAGAGGTTTCAGGTCATAGTTGGCTGGCTCCAAGCCAGGGTGAGCATGGCAGAGGGGCATTGCAGAGGACAAACAGTTCGTGACAAGCAGCAAGCTACAAGAAGCAACCCTCTTTCTGTCCCTTACCCACCCTAACAGTAGGAAGCACTCACACCCAAGGTGAGGCAGTTTTAATCCTCATATTGCACCATGAATCAATTCCAGCATCACATCCTTGATCCTAGGACACCCTAGATCAGCCACCTCTGAAAAGCCCCACATATGATCACATGAGGCTTTGAGGGGACATCTAGATACTAGCCAGAACAACAAATGACATGCATGCCATAGCTTCACCACCACTTTACTACACCCTCATGAACAATCTCTCTGTCCCTCTCCTCCCTCTCTCCCTCTCTGTCACACACTCTCTCACTCTCTCTCTCACGCTCTCCCTCCCTCTCTCTCTCTCTCCCACTCAGACTCCCTCCCTCCGTCTCTTTCTTGCTCTTTGCTTACTCAGCAATCATATACATTGTTTGACACATTTGAACTCACAATAAGAAACACATTTCTATGTTTCTAATAAGATACAACTGTCTTTCATACAAAAAAAGATTGTCAAAATGATGAAATGTCAAGTCTCGACATTCATTTTATCTATCACTGGTAGGCAATAACACTGTCCACCTCTCAGCTATATGAATTTGTCCTCAAAGTTGGTACTGTACCATTGAATATTCTGTTCCTTAATGACAAGATTGTATAATTACTCTCCAAGAAAACTTGTATAAAATATTAAAGAGAAGTAAAACAGAAAAGAAGAAAACATTTATGATACGCACACTATTCACCCACACAGTTGTGCATCTGAACATCCACATAAAGCAAGGAAGAAAACTTGCATAGCAGTATGCTCCTCATTTTTGTAGAGAGAGAGTTATAAGATCCTTCTGCTATCTTCATTCCTCCATCATTCACTTCATCTGTTCCTTGCCCTCAAATAGATCCTCAGCTGGTCACAATTCCTTACTTCTTGGTTGTCACCCAAATCTTTTTTCCTGAAGAACCTGAACTTTCAGGTTCTTGTCCTTGCCCCTTCTTGCCTTCTGTTTCCTCCTTCCTCCCTTCCTTCCATTCGTTTTTTCCCTCTTCCTCCACCCTTTATTTTTCTGTTGTTGTTTTTCATTGTTGGTTGCCTCTGGTTTCACTGGCATTAGTGCACCAAAACGGATATTCAGCAGTCTTAGATTCCAATTCAGTGGAAACATTCCTTCCTTAGGACTCAAAACTTCCAAATAAACAAAGCTAAAAGTTGCAGGGATGAAAAGCAAAGTTATGCAAACTGGTTATTAGGGTAACAGAGAGAGAAGCCACTCCCACCTCCGGCCTTCTTCCCAGGTCCACGGAGTCTGCTGTAGGAGAGGCACATGATTACTGGTTTCTACTTTGTAGCATTTATTATATCCTGTAAGACAGAACGTTATGCTTTCAGATTGTGTCCACTGACAGCCTAACAACCTTCAGAAGACCATGCCACTGTCCTTGTGGGCCAGCTGCTTCATTTTGAAGTCATGAGCAGAAGTGCACTGCTATACTTCGTTTATTCTGAAATGAATTTCTTGCTCAGAAGCAATACAGTGTGGAGTGTGAGGTCCACTATCACCATGGTGATGAATAAGGCAGAAATGTTATGTGCACAAACGCAGATATTGAGAACACAGGTCTACTCCAAAGAAAAATCCCTATCCACTCCATGCCAGGAATGTCCAAGTAGCTGGTGGGTTGGTAAGGTAATGATGCCCTATCTGGGGTTTAGTGACTAAGTCTGCTTTTGCCGGGTTAACCCCTCAGTGGCCCAGCCATACTTGAATGGGAGTCTGTGCGGTTGCATCCAGAACAACACTGCATAATAACCTACAGGTATGATCAAAATATATGGTGAGTGTTTACTTATTAAATGTTTATTACAGTGAAAGACACATTGCTGTTAACACCTGTACACCTTCTCTCCCTCACTGTGAACACACTGATCCCCATCATTCCAGCCACTTTCTGAAGCAGCTCTGGAAGTCCTCTTTCCTGAATATCTTTAGTTGCACTACTGTGACTAAATTTAAAGGATTCGATATCCTGAATCTATTCAAAATGTTTACTTTTCATGGTCATTTTGACCTTAGGGAAGAGTCAGAAATCGTATGGTTCCAAGCCTGGTAAA